GTGAAACTTATAAGAAACTAACTTTCTAACTCACAAGTCCCCAGTGTATACATATAAAGAATAGTCGATACATCCTATGTTACAGACGCTTAAAGTGATGTTGAAAGGTGTGCTTACTTAATTGAGCACAACATAATTTATTCTCTTAATGTCGAAAGCGTAAATTTACATATGAAAAAGTTAACTTTTGAAACATAACCCTCTACTTGTAGTATGCGATCGCACCTTAAGCATACACCCAAAAAGAAATAGCCTTTCTGAATTGTTTTTGGTGACGTTTTGTTTACCGGATAAGGTTGTGACAAGAAAGCTTTTGCGGTGACTATCACCATCCACTATGCTACAGAAAGTCTCAGCATACGTAGCTGATTACAGAAAAGATTAAGAAGGTCTGCTCTATGTTTGTAACTGGTCCTACTAATTGTTCGGACTGCTTTGTATATGTGTGAAGTTAGTCACTTTCCAATGTAGAAAAAACGTAACGATAATTGCTTTGTGTATCAACAATATAATTACACTTGCTGTAATATTTTATTTCGCAACATCGATTGAAACAGAATAACAGAGTACCATTTTAATGTTACGGATTTTGATTTCCAGTTGGAGATTGGATAGAAGTGATTGGTCTCTATCAGCATCTGCTTAGTAGCCCATGTGTCAGTACAGACCGATTAATTCGTTGTAATCAGCAACGAACATTACAAGCAATAACATCAAAAGTATGTCCATTGTGCAAGAATAAGCTATGATGACTCACTGCCTTAGTGGATAACGCTAGATCATTTGAAGCGATGGGTTCCAGGTCCGGGTCTACGTGGGAACAACGTCACTCACTGAAAGGCAGGTACATCCAGCTGAAGAGTCCTATATAAGACAAACCCCGTGTCTTGGACTCCACTGCTACCCAATATTCATCAGCAATAATACTATCTTGTTCCGCTGGTGTCTAATCAACTACTTACAACCTAAAACACTTAAGTGCCATATCAAAGAGTTAAAAGAAGTCAGTTAACAGAGAACGACAAGTTTCAATAACGAATACAAATACCCTGGTAAAGTTAACGAAAAATGCTCAAGAGTTTCAGTAACAATAATACGAATAGTGACACAGCTGAGTAAGTTCAGTGAGTTAGTTGACAATAAATAGCAGATGAATTATGTTATACTGATCCTTCTGCAAAGTGAATATATATATATATATATATATATATATATATTATGCACACATATTACATAACCTAAATGTTATTCGTCACCAAGTAACCGTTCTGTCTATCTTCTTACTTTACTCTTTCACTATTCATATAATTTTTGGCAAACTCTGTTAAGATACATATACGACTGAAACTTCATAGCATGTCTTTCTAACTTTATCTGGATATTTGTATTCGTTATTAAATCATGTCGTACTCTATTGACTAACTTCATTTAACTGGAAAAATTATGTTAAAATTCTTTCGTCATATGATATTTAAATATTTCGGGTTGCAAACAGCTGATGAGAAACCAGCAGAATGAAATGTTACCGTGTTATTCTGCTCCAGTCGTTGTTCTTTCAATATTCAAGTTCATAGAGTGGTATATGTGTATGAAATAATTTTTTTATATTTCTCTTGTTAAGTTATCGTTCAGTTCATCTATTACATTATTTGATTCATTTATTATTGAGATATTTAGAAAGTGAAAACAATTAATAATTACTGCATATTTTTTTGTTGATTAGACATGAAACTGCAGCTAGAACGACGTCGGAACAGAGATGCGCGAAAATATTTGTTCAATAAAATGTTGACTAACCCATAACATCTTTCCATAAAAAATAATTCAGATTGTATACCATTTAAAAAGGTTTTATAAAGGTGACAATATATTTTGCTTTTCCAAAAACGCATCATTTTTCAGCGCTTTCCGGCCAACTGTAGTACAATAATAGTAAATAATCTTATTAAATTATTCCATCTAAACAAAAATGCACATAGTCTGTATCGAATATGCAGATCCAACTTTTAGCCCGATAAAACCGATTTTTCTGTTGTTTCTTTTCAATAGCAAATGACACTTGACAGAGCATAAATGACATAAAGCACTCCCGTTTTGCAAAACCCTTGAAAAATCTCAATTACTTACCACAATATATTAAGGTCAATCAAATATATTTTACCTACTACTTTGAAATATTTTATTGGTCATATACTCTATCATAATAATAAACTTCCCAAATACAAAAACTGATTGAAACAGGGATTTTAGATAGCCTACTTATCTAAAATGAATAAATAATCCAGGTATTTGTAAATGAAAATTACTATGCGCACATCTCGTTGATAATTACCACTTGTCTGATTATTGACCTTATCTCCGAACAATGAATATTCTTATAGATCTATGCAAAGTGTGAAATATCACTTTTTTTAGCTAATGTTGCCATGAATGAATCTAATTACGTCAAGCTTGTGGATTATTTGTTTCTTATTTATGTGTGCATTTGTATATATGCCGAAAGCTTCTTCTCACACGTACCAACCACTAGTTCACATTCTAATGTAACGTCTTACTAATGTGTGGATATAAAACTTCAGCAAGCAAATCAGGTTATTTGCTTTGTTATCTCTGTACTACTACTACTTAATGGTTTTTTCATTCACAGACAAGAGAATTTAATATTTAAAGTATAAGGTTATTTCAACACCGAAACAACTTTATTTGACTTGTATAACCTACAGAACTCAAAACTAAATGCATGTTAGGTATCTGACTAGACTGTCTTGTTGAACTATGAAATATTCCTTGAACCATTTGACATATTTTAAGTAGTTCGAACACTCACCACATTTCATAAGCACTAAAAGTATATTAAAGTTATAAAAGACCCACAAACACAGTATGTACAATTTTTTTCCCAAAAATATCTGCTGTTGTGGCAATCTGGACACATCTCAGTTAGCATATTTTATGCAAAAATATGGTAAACATGAATTACTTAACCTAACAAATGGATAATATTGGTAATATCATAGTGTTTAAGCTAAAATAATATAATTCGGAAACTTTCATCACCAATAACGAACAGATTTATCTCATTGTGATACATCCAGTAGTTTGCAAGTGATCACAGTCAGGTAATATGCTTTCTATAGAACTTTCTGATGATCTTCTTTCACCAGTGAGTCCAAAAACACTAGTCGTTAAGTCCATAGACACATTCGAGGTATCCCTCATAAAGCCAATCAATCCAAACATGTAAACATATTGTGCAGTCACTCCGACTTCTGATAACATCGGTCTTTATCTTACTGTAATGTCCAAGTTTGGTTTATTAAGTCAAGTAAACTCAAAACGTTCATTTTAATGTTTGCTATCCAAGTTTGCTTGATCTCTGAGTAAAATTATCTAAATTGATTCAATACTGGTTATTGACAGTACATAGCTCTACAGTTAAAACTGAGTACAATGCAAAATTTGCTGCTGAAGCTGGTAAAAGAAAGGATTATTTTTTTCTTATAATAATGTTTTTAAATTGAATTTTCCCAGAAAAAATGTTTTCAACAATCTAATCAACTGTTTGTAGACTGCATCCCTTAAATTCAGACAGTTACAAACTGAGTATTGATTCTTGGCATTAGTATTCCTGAAGTGTTGAAAGAGTTGACTTCATCAGAGATATCTATACACTTGTAGTTTGTCATTTTTAGTTTTTGAATCTATTTGTACTTAAAGTTTCAAAGTTATTCACATTTTTCACAAATTTTTATGCTCTTCTTGATTGTCTTTCATTTATTTTACTGTCCTATGCTGTCTAGGTGATCTGATGATATATTTGACTTTGTAAAATCTTCAATAATTTATTATATGCCTATCTCATAAATAAGTAAAAAGTCATATTTATTTTTATTATTACAACACATATGATGACGATAATAATGACATTTTTTTTCTTTTTTTTTGACTGCTAATGGAGTCAAAAATTTGACTTTAAAAGGATCATCATTCTGTTTTATAACGAATAGAATTTTCTTCAAGATTGTTAACTCAAGAGTTATGAGTTTATTCATGTGTAACACACAAGGTTTTACTAATAAATAATTTTTCCTCAGGCATTATTTTGGAAATGGATGCATTGTATCAGCTATCATGTCTACTTTCTCTTAATTTTTATGATAGTAGCAGTAGTCAGAAGATACATAAGTTATCTGAAATTCAATTCAAAGTGTTTATTGACTGTTAGCAGTATTACCGAAAACCACTTTCTTATCCTATTTTTTTGCCAATGGCATATTCTTATTCACCATCGCATCGCTTTGTTCATAGTAAAAACATAATGCATCTAACTGCTTACTAAACTGATCATGATACAAAATCGCATTCAGCTCGACAGTAAAACTTTTTAAAGAAGCAGTGTATGATATTTTGTTGTCTTTAGTGATCACTTAACTGGCTTCAACTTAAAAAGGGATCTGACAGTAAGCTAACAATTTTCTTAAAAACACAATTAAATAACTTCCTAGAGAGGTTTGTAATACCTACAATTCTGAATTAAACATCATTTTTCATATTGCATATTTAAAATAACCATGCATTTTCCTTCTTCCTCGTTTACTGTATGCTTAATGAATTTAGAGAGTTACTTTTAATGCACAGCATAATTTTAAGTATTTTAAGTCAAAGCTTATGCATGAGAAAACTAGTTTTATAAAGTAGTTTAAATCAGTTTTCTGTGTAAATTTTTGCTTAAGCTGTAACAACAATTTTCTTGATAATAAAAGTGATCGATTATGGTAAAATACACAGCACATCTATGGCTCTACCTAGATATGAGAATATTAAAATGCGTATATTCTCAGCAGCATTTCAAAACATTTTAGGCAAATTTTCTCAAGTATACTTGATAAAATTAAGCTTAGTATACTCACTTTCAAGTTACGAATATATATTAACACGTACCAACTAATTCAGTACATGTGGATGCAAATGTTAAAATAATTTTGTTCAAATGAACTCACCAGCCAAATCACCGGACAGTGTATAGCAAGCGCCATTTGGTAGAACAGTTTTTGTGAAATTCATGGCAGAACAATGTCTTTGACCAATTTTACAGCTTGTCAGAAAAAACGAAGTGAGAAAGTTTTTAATAATGCATTTTAAGGGAGATATCACTGTATACACAATTTTGACAATGAATGATTCGAAATAAATTTGACTAATGCAAACAAAAAATAGATTATAAATAATTACACAGACATATATACATAAATATACTGTTAGATGTTTATTTTTGCTAGGTCCACTTACGTTTATCGAGAAGTAATCACATTGCAGTGCTATACTGGTCTTGAGCATATATGTCTTGTTATTTCGAAGGGGTCTAGCTAGAACGTCAATATATCATCAAATGAGCAATTATGAGCCCGTACGTATACAGAAAATGAAAATACTCCTAAATTGTCTAAGTATCGTGTAGTTTTCTAAGATGTAATTGTGATACATATACAGATCAGATTTCGTGATCCATCATAACGGATACCTCTTTCAGGAAAATATACGACTAAGACTTAATGCTTAGTGAGACATGAGTAGAGAAAGGTCAAAAATCATGTGTGGATTTCCTTAGGATAATGCTAATGATAATAACACTTATTTTCTCTTTAATTCATCTGTTTATTTGGAGCAGAATAATGCAACTTTTAGACTAAGTTGAAAAAACAGTCATCTTGAAACAATATTGGAAACTTAGGAGATTATGACCTATTTAGAGTCTTGACTAAAACATCCAAACAACCAAGTCCTTAAACTGCATCCAGATACTTCAAGGATGCATGTTTGAACTCCTAAATAAAAGCAATACATAGTGAAATAAATTCATAAAACTAAACGGTTTCGGTTATGTAACGGTATTTGATAGTGAGTATAATACTTTTTGAAGCTATATCGTGATTGGCAATTATTTAGTGGACGTTTTAAATATTTGTGAATATTCCAACAAATAATTAGTTCCACACTACTATCTGATGGACAAGCTTAATGAACTGTTGAAGTATATTTTTGACTAATCAGTATAACGAATTCCTAAGATACATTTTTAATCACGATTGTATTGTTTCAGTTAGCATTGATATTTCAGTGTTTAACCTTTTCATAAAACATTTTTATACACTGAGGTTATTCATTTAAAAAGCTAATATCTAAATAATATTTTAACGTAAATGTATAGCTTAGGCCCTTTGGTAGAAAGTGGTCCCATAATATATTTGTTTATTCAATAAAGCATGCACTGACATAGAATAATTTACTGGACAACATTTCTAGCATAAATTATTTCTTATAGGCTTTGATATGATCACGAGAAATTAGTCATACTTTGGTTTGACTAACAACAACCTTTTACTCTCAAGATGTCACTGAGTAAATAACACTGCTTCATTATGTGACATGTCAAGTGGACAAATCTCTATAAAATTCTATCCGACATTCATGGCTTGTTATTTCAAGGCTGAAAAATGAGAAATGAGAAATTAATTTTATAGAATGCAACTGGAGAATAACTATTTTAATGTCGCAAGATCTGTAGTGCGACAGGTGATAGGTGAAAGTAGATAAATACTAGTGAAAGTCTTGAATACATCTCAGTCATGTTTATCCAAAAGAATAAGGCTCCGTTGCATTTTGGGCGACTGAAGTAATATCATCTACTTAAAACGAGGCCCATGTTATGCCAAGAAGTCTAGTGGAAGAAAAGAAGTTTATTCCGTTAGTTAAATTCAACAACAATCACGTAAACAGATTGATGTATTACGAAGAAATTTTTAATGAAACGTTTACATAATAATAAGTTTTTATTTTGGTAATATATCGAGTAAAATTACTACCCCTGATCACACCAACAGTTATAAATTTTTAGCAGTATTTATTTATATAAACAGATATTAGAGAAGGAATGACTAAACCACTGCACAAAGGTACATTTTCAGATGAAATTTGTGTAAGTTGAAAAGAATAGGATTTCAGCGTGGATAGATATTATTTACACATACATTTTTACATGGTTTACCTCAAACGAGTAATTTAAAGACAGAGAATATTACTCAACTGTATATTTTTTCTTTTAATTATTAAAATATGTCTCGAATAATCGACAATAATTTATAAAAAGGAACTTTTATCTTGGATTTCTCCATTCACGTTTTAGTATAAGTGATTGAAAGTTATGTCCTTCGAGATTCATTTATCTTTCTTGATTTCCTTCTTTTTTTCAAAAATACATCTGCTTTACTCCACAATTAAGTGGAAACCATGCACTTGGAAAATTGATTCAAATCGGAAATTAACTTTGATTTACTGAAAACTAGAATATGTTTCGAATAATAGATTATGTCGCGTTGACTAAGAGGAACTTCAGATTCGCACCATGATTTGGCATTTTAGAAATGAATACTCAAACCTTATTAAGCATTTAGATCCGAACAAATTCTAAAGATCTTGGCTTGGGAACTACAATATCCCTATGACATCTACCTTCTCAGCCTAGTTGAATCTTTCAAATACTTGTGAGCTTTTGCATTCTTAAGCCAGCTAGTGCCAATGAGATTTACTTTGTCTATTGCCTTGTTTCTTTTTCTCAGTGATTTCGTTTTATGTCTGAGTTGTAGTCACCAATTTCAATAGTTTTATTTATATTTTGTCTCTATATAGCACTACGAATGTTTAAACTTACATTACTTATAAACGAAAAGATGGTCAAGGGAATTAACTCTTAATGTGAATGGTTTGGATATTGTTAGGTCATAGCAGATTGACAGTTTAGTGGAAGAACTTTGTCTGTTGGTACAAGTAAATTCATCAACAAATTTCGAGAATAAATAACCTCTGAGGTTCCCTCCACAAGTGGTTTAGTAGGCTTTCTTGATGACTTAAAATGCAAATGGTTACTTTCGCAGTTTGCGCCTCAACTGCCTATGTATCTTTTTTGACTGGTTTTTTATGGCACTTCTTGTGTTCTTGTAGCATTTTATGGCCTTTCTTATTGGGTGATAAATGAAACCTACGCCATGATGTTTTAGTGCTTATTGGTTTAAATGAATGGCTTTGAAATGTTTTGTCAAGTTTTCTTTTTTCTTCCATCTCAGTTTTCTCTAAACCTACGGTATTTATTCGGGAAATGAGTTAAGACGCTACAATCATATAGGATATTTAATAATACTGCAGATCAGACAACTTAAAAAGACTGGTAAGAAATTCCTTTAGCCAGATATGCACAAAATGTATTTATCTGAGCAGCATTTGATAGTAAGTTATTGTAGCAGTTTGTGCATATATTCAGTATGTCAAATAGGCTAAAGTGCATAATTTTTGTTGATCAACCGAATCACCGATACAAATATTTCTACATCAAAAAGACCTATTAAATTAAGTATGTGGCAAATATCAAAGTACTAGGGCTTTACTAGACATCATGTTTCTGCTTGAACATTACTTAAACCAACCGGATATGGATGCTTTGGATCTAGTTTTGGTGTCTTCAAGCATTCATGAATAATAAGGAAGTAGATATCGAGAGCAATCACTTTCCTCCTGGTATTGGTATTTGCAAAATTCAACAGTTCAATCATAAGTCTCACGTCTGGGACAATTTGTCCGTGACTGACACTAGTCGATCATCAACAATCAACCAATGACTGTTCAACTAACCGTTTGACTGGCTTATCGATTCAGCTGTACGGTCTGTAGTAGAGATTAAGCCACATACCTTGATTGCATGAATCACTATATAGAATACTGTTAAATTACAGATTTTCTGTATCACTGACATCCTATGAGCATAAGAGGTTAGTTCGAAACTTTCAGCCCATTCATTTAAGTTATCAACCCCCAAATGGGACGCACAAACATTTCTACTCACTAAATAGATGTTTTGAGGGATTCTATTTTAAATGCCATGCTAGCACAAAAAGCTAGTATTTGACTTGTAAAATTTATGAAAGTGAAACCTTGATGCTTTATAATATTACAAAAAAGGGTCATGTTAATCTTGTGTGATGTTTTCATGCCATACAAAAAGTAAATTTTAAATGACAGTTGATTATGCCTATTACTAGAATACCTTTAATTGTTTTTAAAAGAAGCTTCACTACAATGTATTCTTTGTATCTAATGTCGACTAGCTGGAACAGAACTCATGCTGAGGAATGGGAAACAAGAAAAGCAAACACAAGGTGAGTCTTTCATGTGTACACATACCAACAGCTAAAAGAGACAACTGCGTCAAAAAGTTGTGTTGACCACCTCATGAGATTATCCCATTACATTAGTGCTCCAAAGACAATAATATAGCGGAAACAAAATAACGAAACCTCAGAAGATGGGAAATTTCAAATAAGAGCTTTATCCTGAAAGGATATCTTAGAATGAACAGCTCGATATTTTTACCACATATGTTTTCGGAGTCTACCATATTTCAAGTTCTCCTAAACAAATATTATGATTTTTTATGTAAAGCACCATTAAATAATTCAAATAGGCTAACATATAACCTAACGAAGCATTAAGTTGATTCCCTGTGCTTTATTTCAAAACTGAGCAGTGAAACTTGAAAGAAAACCAAGAGGTTATTAAACTTCATCCACTGAACTGTCAACTAAACTTGTTACAGAAAGCATTCTTGATACTTAATATTGCTGCATTAGGTAGAGTATTTTAAACAATCTGTGATTTTAACATGAAAGTTTGGTCGTCCAGATTGCTTATAAATTCATAAAGTAGACTAAAGGTACGTTGCAGAACTTTCTTTCAGTTTATTAACTAATAGCTATCCAAGTTGAATCATTATATGCCAAATTAAAAATCAACTAGTCATCAAGAAGAAAGCCTCTTTAATGGCGAAATTTTTCATCATAAAACCACCATTTAAAGGTAATGTGATCATGCGATTCACAACTTAAAGACTTCATTTGGCTATCCAACGTGCTTTCTACTCCATTTCCCTTCATTTAACCACAAGAATATCAACCCTTTCAGTTTCATAAGTGGAACTGAAAGGACAGTTAACTGCCGTCACAAAAAACAGTTTCAAGAACGTCAAACCGCACAAATAACGTCAACGTACTTAGTATGAATAAGAATCCCAAATAATCTGTTGTCAGGCATTTACTGATGAATACCTACAAAACCGATGCTAAAGACTGCTTCTTTGTTGTCTCACACGACTCCCACCTAAGGTTATGATACGGGATGGAACACCTTAGATTAACCATACATCTAAAAATAAGTGGTCAGAAAACAATGCATGTGATCCTTTCTTGACCTCAGACTACTTCACCTGATAAGAAGAGTGGTTATTAGTATTCCCTTTCACTTCATATAACTGCAAATACGTAATGACGCTAATTGATGATTAAAAATGAAATGTGATTAGTCCGGACAGCATCCGAATTCAAAACAGCGGCTTCCTGGTTACTGACTTGGTAATCTACCGACCGAACTATAATACCCAGCCATTAACTAGGTCTTAATTTCACTCGAATCAGTAAGTGCTCTCCCCAACTGCTACATGAATCCAATCAACGAACAATTACGCATCATGGATTCACATGGCAGCCAGGCAAAGGCCTTGATAACTGAAGTGAAATTAAGATCTGGTCAGCAGCTGGGTTTCGCAGCTCAGTGAATATGGCACCAGGCCGGTAGCTCGGAGTCCGCTAGTTTGAAATCTCCTGTGACCCAGATAATCGTTTCAGCTCCAATCACCACCCAGTGTCAGTAATACATGTTTATCAAACTATGAATATCTCACATAGTCAAACGAATAATTTATCAATGCAAACCACATTATTTGTCATGTGAATGTAAACAGACTATGAAATAATATCGTCCGGCAATGTTCACCTTCTTACTACCTTGTTTATCAAAATTGATAAACTATTTTACCAATCCTAGGTGACAGGACTATGAACTAAGTGTTATAACCAACAACAGCAGTATTTACTTTAAATCTGCTTTTTGTCTGTTTCAGCTGTCAAAGACCTACGACAACTGATATCAAGATTCATTTTACACGTAAAGCATAATTAAAGTTTGAAAAACCAAGAAAGCCAAAAAGTAGTGTAGATATGACTCAAACTAGTTTTTAAGCCGATGAATGTCTACCCAACAAATTGTAATAAGAATAAACTAAGAAAAATTAGATAAATATTATTCAACTGACTGTTAGTTCCTAAACTAATCAACAAATGAAACTTCAAAGTTTGGAAATACTACTCAACTATAAATTAATGGTGAATTGATCAACAGATGCTAACTGAAAGCCACTTTCTCGTATCCTGATTTCCAATAAGCTGTGAGTCCTTAACTGAAATAATATTTCATTGCTTCCTTATTAGCGTTAGCTCAATACCGAAAATATCTTACTACACTTGTGTAATTCACCATGTGAGTAGTGTGAAAAATTTGCAGAATTCTTGATTGAATAAATAGTAAGCACAATAAAATTTAATAACTTGAAGATTACCAGGAAAACTTAAATAGATTAAAACATTTTTAACTGTAGTGGTACCAGTTATAAGATTTACTGAGAATCAGAATGACCACCATTTTATTGACATAAACAAATAACATATTTTTATGCATAAATATTTCTTCCTGTTTACTTGTAACAAAAGTAATATAATTTTCTGTTATACTGTTAAAGTACATCTTTTAAGCTTTTACATTTTATGCGTTGTATCGTTTTAATTATGAAAACGTAATTTTTTTAAAATTCACACCAAACCAAACTTGCTTGAACCACTTGAAAATATAAACCATCAAATGAAAGTTATTAAATAAGTGGAAAGAAATAAATAACAATACAATTTGTATAAATAAATAAATCAGCTGAAATTTCCAGGGGATTGGGTTTAAGAAATATTAAAACTTATGAGTAAACAATCAAGTCAATATAGGTATACGTCAAGATATTTATCCTTAGTTATTGAACTATGCATTTTACTCTGTACAATTTAAATTAAACCGGGAAAAAGGGAGCAGTTATTTTAGTTAACAGATGTTTTAAGGTGAACAATAAACACCTTACTGTCAAACAAAATTTTTTAGAGATTTTTACGATATTCAGTTAATAAACAAAACGGTATTGTTTATAAATTCCTCAAATTTAGCTGTATCAACTTCAATACTTAAAAAAAATAAGCACATTACACATGTGACAAAAATTGTAACTGGTAAAAAGCTGGATACAACTATTGTTAAAATGTATTGTATTTATATGTTAAGTAAGAATGCAAAACGTTACGGTAACACTTTTCTTCTAAATCAAATAAAAGATTCAGATCTACACACTTTTATGTAACATATATTAACCTTACATGTTGAGTGTCAACAGATTAGACAGCTAGCTATCATGATCCTGTTGATGTGAGTAAAGTATTAATTTTAATGAAAAATGTGCATACAACAATGGGATTTTTGTTTGCATACATCTTTCGGCTATTGAATTGGATGGCATATTATGAACTAAAAAGAAATAGTAGAATAGAAGAGTACTTTTGTGTGTTCTAAACCATGGGCTACGAAAAGAATTTTCAAACGATGATATTTCATTAGTTCCTTCCTATCTATTTGTTTAACTCTTACAGATATGTTTTCTAAATGTATTATGTACTCTTGTACTGTTTTGAAGTGTTTTCAAACCTTCATTACTCAAAATAAGAACAAAACAAAAGAAAAACGTTATGCTAGATCGAAAGGAATGCATAAATGCTTAGAAATACAATTTTTGTGCTTGCTGATTGAACTACCACTAGTATGATTTTGTATTCATCTACAATCCGTTCTAGACACTAACGTAATATCTGCTAATCATTTCAAATTAATGCCTTAAATTTCATTATTATAGGCACGATTCAGATGAAAAAGTCATTTTTTTTAATATGGTACAGAGAGAGTTTTTATTGAAATACTACCTGCTGAAATTGCCAAAATGTATCATGTAACTTGTTTGGATTAAAGGGAGTACTACTATCATTATTTTTCTAATAATTATTTATTATTCACTCATTTATAGCGATTTATGCAAAATCATTCCTATGAAAATCTTTCTATTCCCTTTTATTATTTAATTTATTACAAACTGGTATCAAAAGTTCCCTTATTCTTTGATTGTATACAAACGGTAAGACAGTTAAATAATTACAATGATAAGATTCAGTTGTCTTGACAACCAGAGTAACAATATAAAAATGTTTTGGATTGGATTCTCACCTGACACATCCAAGTTTTAACTTCGAAACTACTCTGATTCTATGAACCTCACCATTTGATAATGATTGGCAAAGAGATAAGACGTGGAAAGCTCAATACCTGTCTGATAAGTCACATCAGCTTGAATGCCTTCATAAATAACTTTATCTCGATATGCTTAGAAATGGTTCAATCAGTTACATCTCTTCAATAAGTAGGATAAATACCGTGTTTTATTTGAACGCTATGATAAAAGGCGCATACCAAAAACCGCTATATTTGAACATAAAGACTGCATTTCATCAAATAAATAGGATAGCTGTATAGAATTACCTGTTACTGGATGACTTATGTTTTGGTTTTGCCAGTATCTCGAAGCTCTATTGCAGATAAAGCTCGGTAAGGTCACTGATGTACAGCTGTTTTTCTCTTCTACGCCTAAGTTGAATTCAAGCTAGATATATTTGTTTGATTTTAACATTTTCCTTTTATGAACTCAACTATGGCATTTTTAAGACACGTTTTAAGTAAACACATGACAACTTCAAGACATTGACTCGGTAAATTGTACCCTTATAATGTGTGATAACACTTTTTTATACTAAAATCACATTTGATGTTCAACGGTGAATGCTTGTAGTTGATCTGTATCCCCAAACTGCCAGAATTCCGTGCACACACTTCCCTTTGATAACTTGCTGTCGCACATATTTCAAAGGTTTCCATAATGAAGTACTTAAATTAACGTTGTTGAAGATGAAACTGATTACACTGTCTTTTGTCTATCAAAAGCTGGGAGGACATACTCTAGCGTTAAACATCTTCAGCACCGTCACAACGTCTGTCTAGCCAAAATTAATCGTGTACAGCAACTTACGTGATAAATTTAGGGAACACAAAATTTTGAGTTGAAAATAGCCTTGGTGTTATTACTAGCACTTCGTGACCGAGTCAAGTAACAAAAACCGTGTTCCAATGACAAGTGTTTCAGTGTGATGGAGTCCGTCACTGAGCTGAGCTACAGTAGGTATCAAGCAGAAAAATGTTTATCAACTCTAGAACGGATTAGAAGATGCATGGAGACAGTTAGTTTAAGAAGCGGCGGTATGGCGTAAGTAAAACATGTACTGAATTACCGCATATCTGTTTGTCTGGATAGGTTATTATGTATACAAATACCTGGTCTGAAATTTTTCAGGCATAGTTCAAAACTAAAGTTATTTCCAACTATATGGATGATGCAGCCTCTTCAATAATTAAATCATAACATTGTTTTTCACTGTCTTGTACAACTATTGATGGTGCTACAAATGCACTTAGTAAGAGTTTTAATGCCTCCCAATGTCATGACTATGAAAAGAAATTAATTACATATGATAAAAACATTTATAAACATAGGAAAAAGGAAAGCTATCATATTTTCCACTTAGCCTGGTGGCTTGAAAAGTTTTTTTCAATAATGCATCGTCATATCTATTGTATAACAATAAAAAGAGATAGGTAGACAATACTCTCAGTATTGTCAGAAGCAGTTTAGGCAACAAAATTTCAACATACACCAGTTAAATTCATAGTATAAAAATATTTTCATGAGGAAAATGCATGTCACAGGATAAGTATCCGTCTATACCATCAAGAAGTTACCTTATTACAAAAACATCAGCAAGATACAAAATCTGATTAGTTGCATAACTTTTCTAAGTCCTTATTCAGATCACCTTACAAAAACGGTGATAAAGGAAAGTGTCATAAATGAACAATAGATCGCACTGTCACGGGTTTTAAGCAACCTCGAAGAAGTTATCAAGATATTAAAATTTACTTGTTGTAAAACTGTGAAGGATATTTAAATAGTTCTCACCTTCTCAACATCTGATCTATATGATGAGATGCTCTGTCCATTAGCCTGAAGATTGACATCCGTAGTTTGCTTTCTGGCAAGTTCTCGTTGAAGCGTCCTTGGAAAGCATCTGAGAAAATTTCATAGTCAATGCCTCTATCCTGTGACTCGGTTGAATGAATATTGTATAGCTTAGTTCCCCTTGAACAAAAAATAAAATAAATGGAATTGCACAATGAAATAACCAGCTCAAAACAGATTAAACTAAACATATGGAGACCCAAGTCGTCAGCAGATCACAAAATATGTATTTCGCTTTACCGAACTGAAAACGGTGTTTTTTATCGTGGGCTGAATTTCACCTTGCATCCCAACTGTTCTATTTGATTTTTCACAAAAGCTAAAATAAGCAGTATATTTTCAGGGTTTTATTTTTAGTGACTGATGAAACAGTGTGAATGATTCCACACTTAAAAATGGTTCTAGAAGATCTCATTCCGTTGTACAACCCTTTCAATATACATTAAAAATATTTTGTTTAACTGTGCTTACGAATACAAAATCCAACTGTTGTTTATGTGAAAATATGTCGTAACTCTACGAAGGTTCATTTTATGCTTTGTTGATTTTTATGTTTCAGATAATTACTGGTAGTACTGGTTGTATAAAGTGTCATCCTTAATCCAACAACTTCAGCTAACACAACCTGATAATTACTCACTCTAAGTCTAAAATTTGTAGCCCACCAAGTGATTTCAACTAGTATAAAGTTTGTGATTTTCTACATTATAACTTATGAAGTAACTGACTTTTCTGAAGATATCTGCTCGTTCTACTGTAATACATTCTCTTCTTTCCTTCTTAATAGTACTTTATACTTTTCGTTCAAACTGATAGTGATTATTCGGTTCGTTTTGGTTTGGTCTACTGTATATTTGTAAACGACCTTATTCTCTTTTTAACATTCAGTGTAATAAACTATTAGATAAGAAAGGCGTCTATTGTGGCTACGATTTTTACTTATTGGCGAATATATCCAGGACGACACTCATCTAATGTTTGCATTCTTGTCAAAGCTAATACAGTCCACACTAAAACTTTGATACGGATATATTGCTTCACAGTGTAAAGTCCAACAACCCAAAATTATTTGAGTTGATTTATAATGATATAAGTATGATATTATTAACACTGCAGTATAAGCTATAAATCTTTTTTCTCCACAATCTTAAGCATTTAATCAATTTCATTTAATTATCCCCATGCATTCACGTATTCTCCCCTTTGATTGGAGTATACTTATATCTATCCTGGGCTACCAAATTTATCAATCAAACATTTTTCACCAAATTCTTTCCTTTCAATTTGTTTTAATCATTTAAGTATATCCTTTGAATGCATCATGTACTGATGCACATTTTTAAACTGTTTTCAACTCTCCTTTTCTTGAGTCACTAACAAATCAGAAAAAAACATTACGTTGTATGAAAATGAACTTTTCGGTGAGAAAAAAGAATCAAATTTTTGTCCGTCAGATGATTAAGTTGCAGATTTTTGTACCGTCTGAATGAACCGCTGCCATCAAAATAACGCCTGGATTTCTGTTGATTCTTCATTATGGACCGGATACCCATCCAGAACCAGCTGCCTATTTCACATTACTGTCTTGAATACTGTTATTATTAACATCATTCCGATGAAATAACAGTTTCTTTTGAAAGTATTGATCTGGGAGTGAATTTGTTGAAACATTACATGATGAGAATTCCGTACTGTTATACATATTGTTTGGAAACGAAGCGATTATTATTATTCTTGTTTATTTTTACTTTCTGTGTCACTGTAAGCTGTGTTTGTTTAAAAGGACACTTTCACGACAGAAACCATATTTTTATTGTATGGGTTTACACGTAAACTGAACACTGAAACTGTGTATACACTCGCTTCTTCTCTAGCTTTGGTTACTAAAACTTGGTCATCTTTGTTCCACCAACCTTCTAATGAGGATGTTCTTAAAGATTTACTGGTTAGCATACTTGAGTAGTAATTCAGGGCCTGTTATTGCACGGTATTTTAGTTACTTCACATGCTTCATAATCTGCTTTTGTAAAATTCTGAAAGCGTTTAATAATCATGCACCATTTTAGTTCATGAAATTAAGCGATTTGTTCTAAAGTTGTTTTCATTTTCGGTTATTAACAAAAGTATCATGTTTCACTTCAATCCCCTTTTCCCTACTTTACATTCAACTAGCTTATGCCTAGTCACTATTGTCCACCAGTTTGAACAAGACCTGGATTTTTGGTAAACACTCAATTATATATAAGGCGTAGAGAAAACAAGTGATTGTCCTTTAGTAATAAAAATCGTCTGAATGTGAGCTATTTTCCAATATAGTGTTCATGAACCGACATCACTTGGAGAACAACTGAAAACCTGGGAACAATGGACAGCCATTTTGTCCTAGTATAAGACTCCTCAGAGGCATGCACCCACGACCCTGACAGAGGTGGAACCTCCAGGCTAGCCGTGAATGATTTAACCATTCAAGCAATGGGTCAATTCTCCCAGGTTTTCAATGGTTCTTCAACCGATTTCAGTCTGTGATCATTACTATCTTAAAAATAAAAAAATCCCCCATTATCCCCAAAATACATCATCTTTTTAAACAACAAGGTTCAAAATATCTAAGTACGTTTACATCACTTTGAAGCACAAAGGAAATGAAATTCACTTACCTCGCTGGATTTATATTGCAAACGGTGATTAGAGGGAATGGTAAATTACTCTGATGATCATCATATGCAGAAATGATCATTTTTGACGCTAAACTATCATAATGTTTCAACCAAACATGGACACGGTATGTTATGAGACTGGCTACTGATACGCAAAGTAAAAGACAAATCGATCTAAATGAGGAAAATAAATGACCGTTATTAGCGGTTTTAACGAGCCAAAATTCATTCATCATAAGAAATGTCGAAACATCTGTAAAATGTTTGAAACAAATACAAGTTTACTCTAACCCTGAAATCTTACGTTTTCAAGAGAAGACGGTGCTACGAAATCGTTTAAAATTGACCAGCCTGAAATAACCTCTAACTTACCATCTTTGCGAAGCTAAACTTCACTATTAACTGGTAGTCAGAAATTCGATTGGAATTCGAAAATCAGGAACATAATTATTAGTTACGGTACACAAGCTATAGTTTAGATATAAAAACGTCAAAGGTTCAACGGTTAAACTTAATTATATAAAGAGGGATATTTGATTAATTAATCTTTTGTTTGGCGTGATCATATTTTCTTCCCTACGAAGCCTAAGATTTCAAACTAATTAGAGTAAACTGTTTACTTTTTAAACCTAGAACTAATATTTGAAGTTAAGTTTTCGAGTCAATTTGAATTCCACACACTTCTAGTTTTCCCAGTATTGAAGACAAAATATCAAACGTATCACAACCAATTTAAATTGTATGGAGCATTTTGTGATATGACTTCATTTTCACTTTATGCCAGAGTATTTACCATGATCAAACCAGTGTATTTGGAAACCACTAAGAATGTCTCAAGACAACTTGACTAACAGCTCAAAAGTTTCATCTAAGTACAATGTAACGTAGTGATGTTAGCTCCAGTCTTCATTATAGTATAAACCGCTCACTGTTTAGGTACGCCATTTTGAAGAGCGGGTAATGCCACTGAAGTCAGAAACGTTGTTTGCTGCCTTATTACCTTTATATACATAAGAAAGTATAATGATCATGGTTGCTAAAGAATGTAAATAACTTCAATATTAGGGAGTATCATCAAATTCTTGATACCTAATATCTACACAGCAAGCGAAGTCACCAGCTTTGCCTAAAACAACATGTCCACAGATAATTTGATAACTGATTTCCCGGCTTTAAAGATGATATGGTTCCAAATACTATCTATGCATATCTTAACACAAGCTTTCAAAAACCCCTTTATTTATTATCACGGTCTATAAATAAATTCTGGTTAACTTCCAAATCAGTCGTCACTTAAAATTTTAGCTACGTAATCATGAGTACCAAATAACAGAAAATTATTACTTAGGGATATAACTTCATAACTTTGAGATACAGTTTACATGGTTCTAACTTTCTCTCCTTCTTTGTGATATAGATATTAGAATTTCCCACGTGACTAGACCAGGTAGGTAGTCATACATGCCGCATGTATTTCGTATTGATTCAATGAAGAGGAGTTCGTTTATCAATCTCCCCCTTCAGTCAACAAAATTGTATTTAATACTTGTCACTATGGCATCCCATCGGATAGTTTGGTGTGGTTGCATGCATAAATGTAGACCAGCTTTTCTCTAGATTTTTCTTCTCGCTAGCGGCTACGAATCCTGATTTAGCTAAGCTCTGACAGCCTAACTGACTCCGATCAACTACTTCCACCTATGTATTTAAGCTCACAGCTCTTGCAAGGGATATAGTAACTAAATTATTTTGACTATTAAAACTGAATGGATTAGTCAATCTACAAAACTTGTTTCTTAGGACGATTGTGGGTTTTAAGGCCACTTTAATTCCAGCCTCATTAAGAATCCTGCTTCAGAGATATTACGTAGGCGTTATCTTGACATCACATCATTCCTTATATTATAGCTTCCTATAGCTTGATACATAAATGCAACCACATTAGATTGAATTAAACTGAACCGCAGTGCTCTCAGCTGTACTCGCATATCAGTTGTTACTTTTTATGAGGAGAAATTTTCATAGGTAGTCTGTAATCTGAAAATCACCTTTGACCCCTATTTTCGTGCTCCGTATAGTTTGATAACCACTGAAAATTTTGAATGACAAGTGAAATTATGATAGCCACCTTATTCATTTAAGCATTTTATTTACTAGTTCAGTATTCTATTTATCTTTCATACCCTTCTTAAAATATATTGTATTTTGTCAGACGTTTAATCAAGAAGACTTTCACTTACTCACTCACAGTATTTAAATTTTAACCTCTATAATCCGCAAACAAAACAGAAACTAAAAAATGTAAGTTGCCTATAGTAATTCAGTTATTTGCTCCCCAAGATAATTTCTTTGTCAATACTAACATCTGTCCTATGATATTGTCAACACAACCGAAATGCTCTAAGTGTTTACTAAAGTTCATTGCATCAAAAATTTTAAAATTCTTTCTTTATAATCTTTTCCGGCACACTACAAAGATATTCATGATTGCATGAAAAAGGTCTCAGGTTTGACTAGCCTCTGACATATAAAACAACAGGTTTTAAGGATAAAATTATCTTCAATTACAGAATTAATGTACAAAAGCGATAGCAATGTAACTGAGTCGTACGGGAAACAGAAGCGAAAAGTCAAATTTCATTAAACACCTGGCAGAAAAGTATTTGCTCATTCCAATCTACATTAAGCAATTATATATATATATATATATATATATATATATTTACATATTTATATATATATAATAAACTTATGCCTATAACCTAACTTGTATTTGACTCCGCAAACACGTGTTACAGTGCTACTTTTCACTTGACTGCGTTGACTTTATTCTCAATGAATAGTCTAATTCTGAAACTATAGTAGGATGTATGCCACTAAAACTAAGTATTGCTTCTTCAGTTGACCGGTAAAAGAAAACGAATTCAAGAAAACTGTAAACTTCAAGCAACACTTAAATTGACTAGTGTTAACAAATTAAAAATAGAATGTATCATTCTTTATTCCAACAACTCCATTCAATCAGTTTTCTGCCTTTTCGATTACAAAACACGTTAAGGTATATCTTGACGGATTCAAGTCCATCATAACTTGAGAAGCGCCATGACAAACGAGAACTTCTTGTAAACTCTGCTAGTCTATACTCAAAAACTGAGCATTTACCACATCAGCTACTTTCTTTTCCTATTGACCGTGATATTTAACGAATAATTAATTGCTCCCTTCAACTCTTTAGTTCTATACTTCGAATTACCTAATTTTTCATAACCTCAACATTCTCATTCGATCCAACGCCTAGTGATGTAACACAAATGAGCACGACATCGATTTGACTAAAAATTGAAAAAATACACCAATATGAAACATCAAATCAGTCGGATTCACGAAAGAATTACCCAACTTTATGCCTAATATAGCTTTTTCAATAGGATTTCTTAGGTTACTATAAACACCACAAATACATTTCATGATATATGGTATCCTGACTGCCATCACATTTTGCTGTACTGGACTTACCATCAGTAAATACTGTAAATCCGAAATTTCAAACAACTACAGGTTGAACCCTGTTAGAACTTATGCGACCATGTGACTGCTTATAGAGAGAGTTGTCACGTGAACTGGCGGCAATTAGTAGTGTAATCGTCCCTCTTTATTTTTGGAATCGACGTACCAATGAGCATAACCTTAGATACAGCTGACTCCACAGAGGTTGATCTCCTTGGAGATTACCTGGTTTGCTTGGAGTATGCAGAAGCCATTTTTTGCTAGGTGAAGTTAAAAAATGCAGAGTCTTCTGAATGCATTGAGCAGAAGTCTGAGTATGTTCGGGATTTGTTCTACCGTCACTTGTCAAATGTTAGATTACGCTTCAGCAATTGTCTGTTATAAATACTCCTAAGTTAGTGACAGGAAGCGAAATAGTGGAATGTGTTGACCACCTCACTTACGCAAGGAGTTGCATCAGCTCAAATGGTATAGTTCCTAACGGAATCTCAGCCTGGATAGCGAAAACCAATTCAGCATTTGCAAACTTGCGTCACCTGTGGCGCTGACTGGCTAGAAATCCACGCAACTGGTAAAGAACGAGTATACTGCGCTGCAGTTCGTTATCTCCTGCTATACGAGTGTTAGACATAGTAGTTATAAGTAGAAAACATGAAGCAAGTACAGCGTTTAGATGACAAGTGCCTTTATATCATTGCTCATCTTTGGGGGGATCACCGTATGAGCAATGTAGAGGTAGGGCGACGGGCACTAGGCAAGACGGGTAAGTCAGTCGATAAGGTTGTAAACCTTTAGTGACTTAAATGGCTTGAACATGTACCGCGCATGTGGAGCCATAGCTTACTTCAAATGGTCATGCTAGTGGAAGCAGGATTAGATTGGGAGAGGGTTCAGAGTGACCAGACTAAGACGTGGCACCAGACGACGAAGTCCCTGATTGCTGATCTGAGCTGCGTAGGGAGATGCAGACTACTTGGCTTGGATGTTCAAGACTACAGGAATCAGTGGTTGGGGACTCTTGGTGACATAGCCGGAAATCGGTATTAATGGAGCAGACATATTCACCGTTTTACGTCTTTGAAAGCTTGAGTATTCGCACTGATCTTTATCTTCAAATCCCTTATTCTCTCACATAACTTTTTCTACTTAGAAATTAATCTCTTTTACCCACCTATTCTTTGTGTACTACTGTGGAATGTGGCTAGTTGAACCAGTGCAATTATGTTAGAGGTTTCATGCTGATTTTGTTTGTCTGTTTACAAACCTGATGTCTTCATCCATGTATTTAGCATGTTTTTAAAATCTCTTCCCTAAAACCCTCAAGAAGTTTGCAAGATGGAAATTCCTGCATGCGTTTTTCTTCGTGTGAAGTTGTGGGGAAAATGCATAAAACTTTATGTAGGTCTTAATTCGTTTCCGTAGATTGATGTTAAACACTTGTGCTACGAAACATTTTGATCATGCATTTACGTTTGATGGTATCTGCATACACAACCGTTTGCTTTCCAAAGCGTAAGAAAAAGAGTAGGCATAGGAGACGAGAACACTTCTTCAAGGCTATGATGCTTAAAAACAGTAGGCAAAACACTTAGAAGGGATATGGAGCTCGCAAAAGCCCTCAAAAATTTACAAAACTTGATAACCTGAATTTCCATAAAACTGTGAAGAACTTGACGATCTAGATCTCTTAATAAATATTAAGCCACCTTTCTGAATTACTCTTATCTTTCAGTGTACATCACGGTCTGAACAAGTTGATATCCCATTTTGCTTGGTGGTTGATGCAAATCTTCACACCACTACACTGTTTGTAGTGAGTAATTTTACTGGTGAACTTTATCTCTGAGTGAATAAAGTGTTACATCTAGACAGCCAAACATCGAATCTTTTGTTTGGATGCATCAAAACAGGCAAAAGCCTGACTAAATGAAAATGCTTCAAGTCCGCTTAACTTACATTGCAAAAAGATACAAAATCCCAGGCTCATTTCTCAGCAAAAACTATGTGTGCAAGGGCTGAACCCAACAGAAAAGTGTACTGATCAAGACTGTTACGATTTGCAAACTCTCAGAAATGAGATCAAATCAAAAAGATTACAGGGTTATTACGGTAGATAAACCAAAAAATGACTCGGTTACCAAATGCGTTAAAATATTTGAAATTATCGGGAAAAAGGCTGCGTAAAATTTATTTTCGTAAACCATGTTCCAAACAGACCGTATCATTTTGTTAATTCATAGTTCCAGAGCATCAGTGTTAAATTTCCTATGTTTGTCTTTTACCCGCTGATATTCAGTTCTTGCAAAGGATTCAGAAAAGCATCTAAAATACGCATCTAGGTGGTTATGTAATAGTTGGAAGCATGATTTACAACAATCATACTGCAACAACTGAAATGAAAATATCTTCTAAAACTCTACAGCAGTGCCTAAAATCAGTTCACCAAATATGACAATAAAGAGGACTGTGGTACTTTATGATGATTTTCTTATGATGGCTTTAGTATTTTACCAATAAACATACCATTTGATATGGAAGTCAGAATCATGGCTTCAAAAGTGAAATTGATAACACCGTGTTGTGAAACACGATTATCTATGAGAAAATCTGTCACATGATAGCTGGAATTATTTCACGGTCATGTTTTTCATTTTATTGCCCTTACCTAAAATACGGTTCATTCAAATACATATTACCAGCTTTATAAGTCGTTTAAATAACCATCAAAATTATACTCACTAATAACAGTGACCGTTGATCTAGACCACTAGAGACGCTATTAATATGATTTATTCTGTGCCAGATTTTATTGATCACCTTGCAAACTGACAAATAATTTAGAACTGATCGCAATCTCCACCACCAATCAATTCTAGCATCTAGAAGCGGGGTCAAGTTGGAGTTACTGACTAGTCATACAAATAATATTGTTTCAGTGCGTGAAACAAATTAAAGTGGCCTTTTAATTTTGCATGCCAAGGTGATATGTAAAAATGCTGTGGTAAAATCTCCCTAAATCAGCATATCCTAAGGTGGTTGCAGATACTGAGCGAAAGAACTTTTCTGAGATAACGGACAGTTACAATGTATATTTTCCATAATAATCGTTGCTCAACAAACTTCTCACACATCACGCAAAGATGAAGAAAGCATTTAAGTAAAATGAAAAGCTTGTTTTGTCTATATTCTTACAAAACTGGTTGTGAAACTATATTCAGCGAAGAAACCAAAAAGTTATTCCATGTTAACAGGTTCACATTATCAATTTATAATATAAATGGAATCAAGGTAAGCAGATTAAACAATGATGAAAATACAAACATCAGCTATGCAAACAATTCGTAAACCATTTTTACCAGATAAGAAATGGATTAAAGGCATAATGAGGGTTATTATGATAAACAATAAAAGATGGAAGTTTGAGAAAATTAGCATAACGTTTTCGCTTTCATCTGCTACAGAAACTCGGTTTTCTATTGCACATAAGGTGATTTTCATTACGGAGCTCCTGACATATTACGTGAAATTTTAGAAAAGAGTAACAGTACCTGCTACATTTTAACTAAATATGTTCAACAAATATTGAAGCTATCTTTGTGAGAAAAATGTGTCAATTTTGGCAAATCACCTGTATTATGACTCGAATTTATTTTAAATTCTTAGGCATCTGTTTCTAGCTAAGCAACTCACTTTTTAACTCCCCCATTTGTCCACTGAGAACAGCAGTGAATATTCATCATGTATAATAAATTACGCGGTAATTTCACATAAAGTTCATACAAATTAGTAATTTAAAACAACAATCAGTTGGGAGCTCTTTATGCAAAATCAAGTGTAAAAAATGTGCTGAGCCACGATTGTTGCCACAATTTCAAACCTTGAATTTCTTTTATCAATCTACATTATTCACTTATTTCCACCTTACTAATGTCAGTAGATAGCTACATGCAACTGCCTGTGCTTGAACACCTACCCGTGTTAGTAGTAAACACCTAGAATATTCCAGTCTTATAAACAAGCCAAGTACTGCTATAACTGCTGTTAGTTCTCATGTGGATTAAGATTTGGCTCTCACTAATAACGAAAAAGTTCTACACTTCGCATCTTTGGTTCTCATGTGTCTGAAGCCAAATAACTGAAAATCTCCTGCCCTTACCCTCCTAGAAATGTTTTGGCAATGGATGAGAACTCAACAGTGAACCTTTATGTGAAAAAATACAAGCCTCTTGAACGAATTACCACTATGTCACTGGCATTTGATAACTTGTGCTAACCTCCATTGTTTCATCAGACTGGTTTATCTGCACTCTTTTCATCAAGCAATGTTACTAACTGGCACATTCCATGTAAGCATTACCGTCAAATTCCATTTCCACTGACCAGTTAGCTCGTCTGTTTTGTTTTGACGCCAAGAATTTGAGAATACACGTTCTCGCAAAAATACCTGTTATTCATACATTAATAGGGTTGAGCCATATGTAGTGAGTCCCCGTCATCTATCGTTTATGCTGATCAATCCGTCCGATATGGCTGACAAAGTAATTTCACGATTTGTTGACGGAATACGATGAGACAAATCTAAGTAAATGTATGCTGCCACCACATTAAGCTTTGGACAGTTAGATTTAAGTTACGTTCTCAAGAATTCACATTGACGATCGGTGAATACCAAGGCTGCTGCAAACAGTATGTGATATGTCACTTGACGGATAGTAGGCGGCATTTATTAATCAGCACAGCAGTAAAATCAAAGTCATTAAACTCAGTAAATAAAGAGATACAGATGAAGTATGCGACTGAGGAAGAAGAAGAGTAAGAGCTCATGTATAGAGGCTAGTGCAAGATGCATCTGTCTTACACATTCTATCCAACAACTTTAATAGAAATGAGCAAATAATTTCACTTTATTTCGCTTGCATATCCGGAAGATACTACAGTAGCATGAAGCGCAAAGCTGGCATTAGACAATAGATGATCCCTTTCGACAATGTTTTCGATTTATTTAACATACTCTGGGACCAGGTATTCCACACACGATTTCCGTTCCAACTTCAGATTGCCTGCTACGGGATCTTGACATTTCAAACCTCGATTAAAATTTTATATCTGTCAGTGTTTCCAGTAACACATGCCTATAGCGGGACTAAATACACTGAGGAAAGCACTGGCGTTGGCCAGTATTCTCATTTTCCTGGGACAAGGCCCGAGATCCCGAAAAAGAAACTTTTGTTTACGGTAGGCAATCTTCGGGGATCTCAATCTCTTTCAAATTCATAACTTTATATGTTGAAGTAATAAAAATGACGGAATTCAATAACTTTGAGCAGGTCACGTCTGCAGGCCTTGAGGATCTAAGATTGGACACGCTAGTGGACCATGAAGAACGTCTGCCAGTACACTCTGAATGCCAAATGCACACAGGTTCATAGAAGGAGATTCTGAGATCCGTATAGTTTCTTGAAGTGCTCAAACAGAAACCTGGCATGATGATCATAAAGTCCATTTACTACCGAGATCAGACCCAAATTGCAGCCTCATCCACAATGCAAGGTGACACCCCGGAAGTCATCACAACAAACAACTTCATGCCATCTACAGTCCATGTGGGCATGAATTTTCACCCTTCGGCGATCAGCGTCTATGCCGCGTATTATTATCACGTGCCATTAAGGTCAGCCAAACATATAATTCAGGCCTTACGGGGAGCGACTGAAACCCCACTCGTTCAATTTTCAGCTTTGATTTCACCTTGTTCTGTTGCCTAGTTGTGAGTTAATGAAGCTTGTCGACTATCTCTTTTCACCACATGTGGGGTCATTCAGCGTGCTAGGTGGGTAACTGAACCATATTTTTCTTTTCCGGATTTTTGCGCAGACAGTTCATGTTCAACCCATTGTAAAACTCATCTATAGGCCAGGTGAAAACCTACAAGCAGCTACACGTCACACATACTCTCACCCAATGGGCAGCTCCAAATATGGCTTGTGTATCACCTATTACCCTTAGGTGGGGCATTTCTTAGCTGCTCAGCGAATGCCGCACCAACTCATAAAATATTTAACTCCAAGTCTGATTAATGCTAGTGGATCTCAGTAATGTCGAGGAAGTGCCAGAAAGACTCTTCACTAAATGCTACAAAAGGAAATTGTTATTCGCATCGTCAGCCACTTTAACTGCAGCCAGGCCTGAAATTTCAGCATCCAAATTACTGAAAAATTGAAAATGTTTTCTAACGGATCATTTGCCAATACAGGTCTTGCTGTAAAAATCTCCGTTCCATTCAAAAAATGGTGAAAACTACTTATTCTTACCTTTACTCAATTCATATCCACCTTCAGTCGGCCATGATAAAAACGAGCTTACTGGAACGCCTCTTATTTGGGTGATATGCCAGAAGGTATGTCTGCAGGGCATATCAATAATTTGTGGCTTGGCAACGTAATATCGATCCTTTTACCCATCGTGAACAAAAGTGACAAACGTCCACTCTCCTTTTAGTTGTCATCTGAAACCCCCCCCCTTCGATAAGAGTACCTTTTTCCCACTGGGAAATCTTGGGCTAAAATTCAGTTAGACGAATTCGACCACGTTGTGGCACTAATAGGTAATGAGAACTTAATAACAACCCCACTCCCCAATTTGAGAAAAGCTTTCAGTCAGACCCTGTGCTGGGGGCCTATGCTGAAATTAAAACAGCGCGGTATGGTTGGGAAAACTCATTAGCTGGACACATCTTTTTCGCTCGCTGACACCATATGGTCAAAACACACCACCGGTACCAACTGCTCAGGCCCATCACAAGTCGTCTAATTGACGGCACTCCTTACCATCGGATCGCGTTTCTCGACCTAATAAATGGTGTAATCGTGGCTATAAAGTGCAAATGATCTTCGAACCATAAGCAACGTCACTAAAAAATATTCACGGATTTTCGAACTACAGCCTAATGGAATTCAAACTGCTGGGATAAAGGGAGCGCAAAAGTTGTCCCACAAGGGTAAGGAGCCCCACATACCAGAGGTCAGTAACGCCATGTACGACTCCACCTCTGTTGTGGGAATTCTTTTGCCATAGCGGTAGTTACTGATAAGGGGACTGTAGAAGCTTACATAAGAATGGTAAATTAGTTCGTAGGTTTGAAAAGTTCTGTGGACTGCCACTGTAAAGATGCTATGATCCTGAGGCCAGATGTGCCACATTTAAAGAGAATACGTGTTACGAATTGAAAATGCGTGCGAGCTTTCACGGCAACCTAAGGCGTGCAAGTAAGAGAAAGCCTTAAGAATCTGCCTAAAAGCAAAAATTGTTAGCAAAAAAGTAGGCCTTTTAAAGAGATGTAATGGGCTCAGTTCGGGACCCCTATGCTTAAAAAAGGTTAAACGTGACCTATTTTTTTACATACAATGAGATTTCAGGATGCGTTTGCAGCACACGTTTCTCTGAGTTGACCGCGGAAATGATTTACTGCCTCTGTAATCATATTCGCCCACTGACACGATTGACCAAAAATAAAGCTTTCACTATTAAATGATGATACACCCACTTCTATAATGCAGGCCCACCGCAGCCACCAGCACTGAATGTTTATATGATGAAACATCCCAGCGAAATAAGTACGCAAAGATTTACAAGTTAGAAAAGTGGAGGTATTGTCTTCGTATCAACAAAAATATTAGGGTTTGTTTGGGTATTACCCGTGTTCCTGGAGAAAAATAAGGCTTGAAGCCAATGCTTCCATTGTAACACCTCGTACATTTTGCTTGGGATAATGACGAAAGTTCGTGATGGAACATATATTTGTTTATTAATTGCACTGCACTGGTGATGCCAGAACACGATAACTGGTGCATATCGATGCTATTTCAAATCGAAGGTTCATAATCTTGCTAGATAATACGACCGAGAGCCAAATATTTTCACTTTTCAACTCCAGCATCCAGAAGCAATAAAGTTGTTTGAACGCTTCAAGTGGACTTCTAGGACATCTTGTCCGTCATTTTTACGGGTCACGACAACTTTCTGCTAGATTTTCCTGGTCACTTTCGCAATGAATCAACCCTAAGCGTCAATAAGTGTGAAGTTGTGGTTCAATGAAAATTCTTTCTGTTTTTTCGTGGTTTGGTAATGTGGAGGCAGTTACACTGGCTAGCCTCCGCGGAGAGTGGTTTTAGCCAGGGTATGTTTCTTAAATAGCTAACTTTCAATGGCACCTAAGCTGACACTCAGAAATGAATTGCTTCCATACAACAGGAAAAACCGGAAGCAAAGCAAAGGGAAGAGGAAGATAGTTTTAACAAGGAGTGTGTTTCCTGTGTGCACGTTTCTCCCTACCTAACTTTCTTTGCTACGAGTTCGTCGTACATGCTTCTGTCATCAAATACCCAAGCACATAACCTTCATGCTATCGTGTAACTTAGATCTATCTTTGGTTATTCTGTCGGGCAGGGCAGAATGTGCCGATAGTGTAAGGTGATAATTTATGGAAGTCCCCTCAAATTTTCGTATGAGATGCCAGCGTCGCTGCGGTGGATGTCCCGTTATACATAAGAGGGGCCTGGTACATGAAATGTCGCGGAGGATGGTGTTAGTGCATGCGTTAAGCCGGACAAGTTGCCGGATGAGGGGACGTGAATTGGTGAACGACTGGAGTTACAGGTTGACTCGGACGCCTTCACCTTCGCAGGAAGCTTGTCCTAAATCTGAGAGCGTCCTACAGTGAAGAGATTCATGCACAAGCAGG